ATAAAAGAAAATCTTAACTTATATTTTTTTAAATATAGTAACTTTGATCAATACTTAAATTTTTTATTCTAATATTATAATATATATATATATATATATATATATATATATAGAGAGAGAGAGAGAGAGAAAATAATATTTCAGAAAAGAAATATTGAAAGATTTATAAATTTAATATATTTAATATTTTTTTAATTTATATGAAGTTATTGTTTTTTTTTCTCTTATAAATAAATGAGAATGACAGTAGAATATAATATAAGGGAAAAAAAAGGGAAAAGAGAAAAAAATATAAAATACTTGTGAATCTAACCTTCGTGTTTTCTCACTTCCTATTCATACTGAAACAAAATGGAATCACTCACTTTCAATGATATCCTTCCTATGAACTTATGAATACGTTGAAACAAAATGAAGTTACGATTTTTATTTTGTTTTTATTTTTTTAGCAATGCCATGAAAGTAAAATTCCCAAGACATTAATATATCAAATGTTTGACAATTTTTTTTTAATTTTTGAAAACTATTTTTACAATAATAATTGTCCAAACTTATAAATTAATTAAATAAATTTATTTTAATATTTTTTACATGAAAAATACTTTAATTTTTTTAATTCTTAAAATCATAAAAAAAAATCAAAGTGTTTAAATATATTACTATAGCAACGTTAAGAATTCTGTTAATAGAAACCATGAAAATTCCAACGTAGATAGGATGCAAAATTCTATGATAGAAGTAAATACAATACAAATAGCAATATTGATACAATTTTATAATTTTGACATTTATGAAAATCATTCACTACAAAAAATATTAAAATTACGGACGGTCAAAATCCGTCGGTAATAATTTTATTATTTATAGCATATTTTTTTTATAGACCCCATCCCCTTTATATTCTTATTATTTATTATTAATTATTTCTTCATATTATATTTTCATCAGTTTAAGAGTAATGTCATTGAAGGATTCGAACTCAAGATCTTAGAGTCAGAGTCGATACTTCAACCACTAAGCTACTAGAATTTCTTAATAACAATTTACAAATAAATTATATTTATATACAAATATACAAATATATTTATATATTTTTATATATTTATATATTTATATTTATATATATATATATATATTTATATATAATTAAATATTTATTTTTTAAAATTATTTAATTTAATAAATTATTATAAATTAATCTAATTATGATTAAATTAAATTATTAAATCAAAATATTTTATTTTTTAATTAGGTGAATAATTAAATTATATTATCTAATTTTACAGACGGATATATCCGTCGGTAAATAATTGTTAATTTACGGATGAATTTACCGAGCGGATATATTCAGTCAGTAATTAATTGTTAATTTACCGACGGATATATCCGTCGAGTAAATTCATCTATAAATTACAGACGGATTTTTGGTAACTAATTATTATTTTACCAGACGGATATTTCAGTCGGTAACATCAAATTTCAAAAATATTTTATATCCGATCAATAATGATTATTTTCAGATCGACTACAAATCCGTCGGTAAATATCCGATCGATATCTACGCGATTTTCTTATAGTGATTTTACAGTAAAAATTGTTCAAGCTTATAAAATTAATAAAATAACTTTTGAATTTGTCTCATTTCGTTCAAGAGGCTAGTACGATAAATAATTTATAAAAAATATTTAAATAAGTAATACTGAAATTTAAACGGTACATGAGAAACACACCAAATTTAATTTACATATGAAATAAAATAAAATATTAAAAAATATAATTATTCTTAATTCTTATAAAATAATTTATTTGTTACCCATTAATATTAAATGTGTAACGACCTCTATAAATCACTACTTATAATGATGTCTTCGCAAAGTAGTAAACAAGTAAATAACGACGTCTATGTTACATTATATTACCTGTAATTGTAACATAAATTGAAATTCAGGTTCACTAACGGAACCTCAAAATATAGTAACATAATTTATTTATATATTATATATGTAAAAGTAGTTCCCTCGAAGTTATCCCACTGAACTATCTTTGTTGTCCAGTAGTCACATCTCCATCTCTCAACTTCTGATCTGCTCCAACATAAAAGTGATCATCGCAGTCTCATCCACATGAAAAAATAGGGGTAAGTATTAAATCATTCGATATAATAAAACAGATATAGAAGTAATAATTATATATTATGATCAATTACAAAATCATCAACACACCAAGACACCTTCGGAAGTATACCCTAACTATGCTCGAACTCGAGGCTATCATCCGTGGGCACATTGTGATCGGTACCGCAGTACTCATTCCGACCACCCTCCACACGAGTAGGATTATTGGCGCCCTTCATCACTCATACTCGGAGTACCCATCCGAGCGCGCCACCAGTCATCCCCCATCGACTTCTCACCACCTGATCTCGTAGTCTACCTGACCCGACCAATCAGTGAAGTTTGGGACCTCATTCAGAATCCTCGACATACTTATTACACTAATGTACTCTGTACCACCCCGGGTACCATTCAAACATAACAAAAATTATTCACATTTGCCAAATTCTGGACCACCTGTCCTCACGACTCATTCGGGTCAATAAAAATAGTATTTGACTGATTCTAGCACCAACCCTCCGGCTCAGTCTAGCCAATATATAACGTCTCAAGACTGATTCTGGGCATCAACCCTCAGGCTCAGTCTGACCCACACACGTCACAACACACTACTTTCATTCTCTCTCTCTTTATATATTTTTTTTTCTAAAATCATTTCCGAAATCATTTCTGAAACTATTTTCAAAATCATTTCCAAAATAATTAAATTACTATTTTGCCCTTAATCTTTTCTTAATATTCCATGTATGTCCCTAAATGACTATTTTACCCATGGACATTTTTGAAAATTCCTTCCATGTCCCGAAAACGACTATTTTGCCGTTGGACATTTTCAAAAATTCCTTCCATGTCCCAAAAATGACTATTTTACCCTTGAACAATTTCAAAAATTCCATTTATGTCCCTAGGATGTAAAATGACTATTTTGCCCTTGAACATTTTTGAAAATTACATTTATGTCCCTAGGATGAAAAATGACTATTTTACCCTTGATCTTTTTAAAAAATCTCCATCATATCCCTTTCTTCTTCCTTCGCCCAGTAACAATGTCGAATTTGGCGGATTTCAAATTACTCGAGTTTTAGACAACCAAACTAGTCCCAAATCGAAATTAAACATGAATTATATCTAATTTAAATTGAAAATTGCAATTTTACCATATAATTCATCCTTAATTTCAATAATTTAATCAATATTTAAAACTTTGCAAAATATGAATAGTAATCAACTCGAAGTACGCCATTTTCAAAATCCAGGTTTCAAATTTCTCAGTTTCAATCACCCAAATTAGTTCCAAATCAAAATTAAACCATAAACATGTTCAATTTAAGTTAAAAACAACAATTTTATTATATAATTCATCCTTAATTTCAAGAATTTAAAAAAACTTTCAAACGGGGAACAATTCATCAAAATCAGAAATTCTTCAAAATCAGACATTCAAATAATTCATATCTCTACTCCTATTCCTTATTCACAGAGTACCCAACCATTCAATTTTATATATTGAATGAATTAAACTTCCCCTTACCTGGATGGTATTTCTACCGAAGCTTTCCCACTTAATTCAAGCTCTCTCCCGTTTCACCATATCCTGCACGAGTAGAGTCTCATTGCTTGAAATTTAGACAATAGAAGAAGAAGAATGAGGAACATGTGATATGGGAAGAAGAATTTTCCACAGAAACCATTCATCCTCCCTTCGAACATATAAAAGAAAAAATATTTACTGTGCATAAGAAAACTTCGTTACGAAGTTTTCTTATACAGGAAAAAACATACCTCACAAAATGTGTTACAAAAAATAGTGGCTTCTATGAAGTATTAAAAAAGTAACTTACTAATAATAACAATTTTGAATTGAGTTTCTCTTTCATTCCAGTAGGAACCTAAAAACCTTATATTACCTATAGTCTGAAATATTCAAAATATGTGTAGAAAAGAAAGTATTATATTCTTCGACTACAATAATGATGCTATTGATATTTTTTAAAGTTGCGATCAAAGTGGTCACACCTTACACTAGATACGTTGTTAAAGTCTCATGGAGACCAGTCCTGAAAAGGTAGAACTATTTCTTTGTAAAATAGAACCATATGTAGAAGAAAACTGCGCCAGAGTACCAGCCTCGTGAAAAGGTCAAAAGCTTGTCTGGTTATCTCATAATAATAATTACAGTGTTTTAGTACCATCTTGTATTTTACAGATAGCTTTTATGGGCCACAAGTGACGAAGCAAAATCTCACCTTATTTTTCTATCTAGTCCTCAACTTTTTTGTCCCCGTCTATGCGAATGTTAACAATTTGCAACGGCACAACCTCTACTTCTACCACAATCGCATTTTCAGCTGCAGCAAACTACAATTGCAAATTACACCTCCAACCCGCACAAACCACATCGTAATCACCGCATTGTACCATCTCCACAGCAACAAACATTTCATTTCTTCATTGAACCGTGATGCCCCTTCATATCTAATTGATTTAGTTTAAATGTTTCAATAGTCTAATTTATCAGAAATTATGAAACATAACTATATAGGAATCGTATCTCCACATAGATAGGTTCGCCTGCGTGTAACGAGAGCATGTGCGTGCAAAAACATATACATATTGTGAACTGAAATCCTATATACACACCCTATGAAAAATCAAGAAATCAAGATAGTCAAATGCCATGTGTTTCCACGAATCGAAATTATCACAAATAACTTACTATGTCAAGAATACAAATTGACCAAAAAGGTAATTACTGCAGGGCTTTGCAGAGGTTTGAATATACGTTTGTTTTCCCATGGCTGTCGTGAGTCTCAGTATCTGGTTTCCCTTTTATGGTAAGGAACCCCAATGACTAGCAGGATGTCAGAACTTTGTGGAATTTCTTATTTACCAATCATCATCAAGGTTGGCTTGGTGGAAACATAAAACAGTACATATAAATATGAAAAACGATACAAGCTCGATGAGCATTGCGCCTGTCTCAATCATATGAGCGTGCTTGAGGATTATAGGAATGGCTATGCTCCCAACGGCTGATGCTCCAGTCAAAAATTTTGCAGCATCTATCCAACTGCAACACAATAGCAGGGGTTACATTTACTGTTCAAAACAAATAATATTTAAATATATATGTTCCAGAATTCATATTGAATTGAAAAAAAAGGTTATGTAAACAAGACCAGCAACCATTGCATACAAGTATACAACAGAAATAGCAATAACCCAGAAGTCAATTGCACGGAAATTGTTTCTACATAAAAGCAGACAGCTTTTCTTAGCTCTAACTTGCAAAAGATGCATACCCCCCACCATCACGGCTCATTAGAAATTGAGTGGATCCACCTCCGAAGAATAAGCAAGGCATAGGTACCAGCACATACATCAGAGCTGCAGGTCCAATGTTCTGACCATAAATTTTTTTTTTTAACAAATATACAATACATTTCCAGTTTAAAAGACTCTAACTTACCTGATAACATGGGCCACCAATTGTTGTATATTGCGCATGCCTGCCACAGCAAATAGAAAGTAAATGAGAATGAATTTAACCCTTGAGAGCAAGTGTATTCAACAGATCAGATGACTCATATTTGACTTAGATCGTGTATCAATCATATCATCATAAAAAATATCTTATTTTTTTTATGATTAACCCAAATTTGGCCCATTTGCATTCCATAAAATCCCACTGCATCCAGTCGCACTACAATCTTTTTTCTTTTTTTGGAATGCAGTCACAAATAGCCATATGTTTTGCCTTATTTTGTAAACAATCAGATCAAACTTGAAATAATAAAAAAATAATTAAAATACCTCAAAATTGGTCAGACCAAAGTTGGAGGAAACATAATAGTGAAAGGAAAAAAATATACAGATATTAATCATTTCATAGTAAGCATTTAGGGCATACACAATCAGTCTCATTGTGAAAAACATACCAGAATCTGAAGCAAAATGCTAGCTGAAAACATAAAAGCCAACCCAGCAAGGCTGCAAGTGTAGGAAAGGGAAAATTAGAAGTTGATTTAGCTTAGTTTGCAATATAATCAATCATCATGGTACAAAACTCAAAATAGTTTAGTTTACACTTACACTGTAAAGGCGAGAACAATCCCAGAACACCCATTTGTTACATCAGATACAGGAGAGAGTCAGTAACATAATTAAAAGCATACATTGAGAAATAAATAAAAAAATAGAACAGAAAAAGATAAGAAAACACAAATCCTCAGTTGGAAAAGTGCTGCACGAATTTGGACACATCCCACACTGGTATATAATCCCCAAAAGAATAATTACAATGAAAATAAATGTACTGAAAGATATCTTAACAACTTTATAGTCAGTCATATATGTACAAGTATACTATCAGAGTCTCCTAACAATTATATCGTCTAAAATGCATTCCTTTCACTTTGGAGGAGCCAATTCCCTGGAGGATTATGGCGACACACATACGCAGGAGACTAATTTGGAACTCTAGTCTTACCATCCAAGAAACCCTGCAGCATGTGTTTTAAATTCTTACTTCTTTGGATTTGAATTCAAATATTGCAAAGGAAAATTCCTCTGTGGTTTTTATAAGCAAACACCCAAGCGTGTTTGACATTAGCAGCATAAATCCCCAATTTTATTACAGCCTGAACCCAGTAATGATTAAAATGTTATGTCGAATTGTATATACTTTGACAAATTTCATTAACCATCGCTTCTCTTTGAGAAGACTACTTTGGTATGCCCTAACCCCCATTCCCACCAGAATCATACGAAAACCCGATAAATGAAATGCCGGGGAAATTCACTATTCATAACCCTAAGCAAATTGTGAGCGAGTTTAGTTTAATCCAATTGTTGTGGAGAAACCTAATAATCGTGACCTAATTAGTAGAGTAATAAGGAGAAGTCCAGAGAGAACAAACAGTTACCGTGTATTGTCATCGCCATGCTCCAGAAGGGAACTTATCTGTCTCCAATTGCAAACCACAGAACAGAGATTTTCTGCGACGGGGGGAAAGTGCAGAGCTGGGATGGGACTTGCTCCGAATTTTGACCCACCCTTTCTCGCTTAATTTTAATCAATGTTTTTGGACTTTCAACCGATTCCAATATATTAATATCACAAAACAATTACTATTACTATAGCATCTCATGATCATATCATTTATTATATAAAAGGTTCAGGAATAAAATTAAATATTTTATAATAAATTTATAATTGAATTACATTAGAGGTTTTAATAAAAATTGTTTAAAAATAAAATTAAATAGTTTATAATAAATTTGTAATTAAGATGTTTAAAATTTGATTAGTGTTGTTTATATAAATAATTTTTATTATTTTAAGTAATTTTACTATTTTTAAATAATTTAAATATAATATTTACAATAAAATATTTTTTTAATTTTTAAATTTTTTTTTAGATATTCTTATGATTTAGTAAATTTACTTCATGCAATAAATGCTTATTAGAAATATAAAATAAATGTTTGTAAATAAAAATATTATAATTTAATTAAGTTTTATATTAGATAGATATCTTTGAATATAAAAACTGTATATTGATAATGAAAAAAATTATATTGTTAACCTATCAAGAGTATTATTCTATATTTTTTGAAGATAAATTGATAGTAATTGATATACCTGTTTATATTATTTATCGATACCAGATAACAGCGATGTATAAATATTCATGTTATTTAAATTTATTATACATTTTTCATTTTCTTATTCTATCCGTTCTCCTATTTTATAATTTTTTTTCTGTTAAATCTAATTTATTTCTTTTCTCAAGGTGTCAATGGGCCCATACATAAGTCATACATTATTATTGTCAATATTTCTCTAATTATGAATTCTATGGTGTTTATGTTATTGTTTCTGGTTGAATTTTGATCGATTTCGATTCTAAACAGTGTTATGGTCCTAATCGAAATCCTCCCACGTAAGTTCTTTTTACTTAGGCTAGTAGTCTGACTTTCAATCGAAAACGTGTATGAGGATCGAAAATCACAAGATATCAAAAAAGCTGTTTTTGGTATTTTGTATTTAAAGTACTGAAAGCAGTAAAGTATCGAATCGAGAAACAGAACATTAAATTGCAAGAAAATATAAAGTGCGAAAGCCCCAAATTTGCATTAATTGTAAATGACGAGGAATCGAAAATAGTGCAAATATAAATGGCAGGAAATCGAAATGTGCAGGGAATGTAAATGACAATAAATCAAGATTTGCAGAATGTGAAACGACATGGAAGCTTAAATGCAGAAACTTAATCTTTCATTGAATTAAAATGACAAGGAATCGAAAATACAGAAACATAAAACTGCTGAATTTAAATTGCATCAAAGTAAATTACCAAGGAAAATACAGAAAGCGGTAAATGTACTCAGTGAGCAAGGAAATCCAGATTGCCATAAGCTTCATGGTGGTCGTCGTTTCTCCGGTAGACTTTTCACTACTGATTCTGTTTTCTGCCAATTTCTCTGCCCCTGTTCCGTCCTTCTTTGCTCTATTTATAGGACATCGTTCAAGCTTTCCAGGAGCAGTTAACAAGGCTGCTACCACGTTCTACGTGCATATGACAGTTTACCTTCCACGGTCTCCCACGTTCTCACGATCTTTGACTTCCTCCAGGGTTTCGAAACTGCTCTCTATACGTGCATTTGACTTGTTCTTCTCTCGCACGGTTTGGCGGAATCCCGATGTCCACATTGGCTTTCTTCACTCTCGATTTTGTATTTTCGAGAATTTCGATTTTACTTGTGATTCCTTTTTGACTTAGGTCTCATATAACTTAGTTTTTATTCGATAACGAGGCATTTGGTTATCATTCACTCGATTCTCGATTGTGCTTCTCGATGCTACGTACTTCTAATCAGACATCAAATGAATTTTTGTTTATCTTATCGAGTCACATTTTCGATCGCTTTTCTCGATTTGCCACTAACAAAATGCCCCCTTGGAAGAATATGAATAGTTTGTTTATATTCTTTCAATATTTCCCGCCTTAGTATTTGGAGGCTCACAGAACTTTAGGGTTTAGGGTTTCTGGGTTTTTAGGGTTTAAAGGGTTTTAGGTTACTTTTTGCTTTACGTCGCTATCATATCAGTCTGCTACCTTACAGTACAAGCAACATTAATTACCTTTCACCTCCGTCGTTTCCAACTCCCTAGGCGCTTTTCCCTTTAACTTTTCCCTTGGTCTTTATTCGGGTTTTTACGCGAACTTTTACTCTCTGTCTGTACCTCCATCGTCTTCCTTGAGTTCTTGCTTTCATCTCTGTGCCTTCATCTTTCCCGTTGCTTTTCTTCATCCTACCCATTACTGAAATGGTCACTTCCTCCAAGTCTTCTGACTTTTCTGCTCCGCCTCTTCCCTCGCTGACGGCTCCCCTTCTGGAGATCAATAATCAGAAGTTTGCTCCAATCCCTCTAATGGAGGAGGCTTCTCAGAAAATTGCTGAGACGCAGGTACTCATTCCTTACATTGCTGATAATGTTAATTTTGGTTTTGGGGGTCCTGTCCGTTCTAGTAGTGGGACTTTTTCTTCCTTCACCCTCTCGAACAGCCCAACACTTATTCATCACCCTGAGGTTCGGACGGATTTCTTGAATATGGCCTCGAGGGTATACCGAACGGGTCCACCTTCCAAAAAACCTTCATTCCTTAGGTGGTTTGATAGAGTATAAGCTAAGTTTGGGAACCACTGGAGAGATATAGGGATTTTTGATTTTTTACAGCTATCTCGATGCGATTTGTCATCTTTGGATATGACTATGTTTCTATCTGCCGTGCATTTGTGGAACAAGGATTTGCATGCCTTGGAATTACCCCGTGGTCCCCTGTCACCTACTCTCTTTGAGATTGCTCGCTATAACCGGATCGAAACCTACTGGAGAGAAGTATTATAAGGGTGCTTACCCTTCGGACAATTCTTTGAGATCTAAGGTCGATTGGGAATCGAAAGCTTACGGACATTTTCTTGAGAAGCATTTCGTCGATGACGAATTGAAGGTCATGGATCGACGAAGAACACATAGCCTTTTTGGTATATTGGCTATGTACCCACGTTTTTTGTCCTCGATCCATCCAAATTTCCTCCCACCTCTATAATCTAGCCTATCTTCTCCATACGGGCCAGCCTAAGATATGTTTGGCTAAACTCCTGTTAGCGCATGTGTATACTGCTTTCGACGAGGCTGTCGAAATTTTAAGTACTCCTAAGGCATCGGGAAACTTTTCTGGTCCCATCTGGTTTGTACAGTTGTGGCTTACCTCAATTTTTGAGAGCATCCTTCCCCCGACCTCCACCATTCCCCCCAGTATAAATATAGAAGGTGCTCGGTTATCTTCTCGCCACCCTCGCCATAAGCCTGATGAAGCGGCTTATTGTAGATATCTGAATTTTTTGTTGACAAAGTTTTCCTTCGATTCAACCTTGGCCCCCTTTACCGTACATTTTGGACAAAAAAGTGACCGACTTAGGGGACCAAGTTGGTTTAAGTCTAAATTCCCTGCCTCGACTCCTAGGTTGCAATCGGAGCTGATAGATATATGGAGTAATTATTTGACCCACGATGTGTTGGTATCGGGTTTTCAATCGAAAGATTTTAAGATCATCACTTACTATCCTCAGCTATTCTCAAGACAATTCGGCCTGAGCCAGTCCTTACCATTCTTCCCTTTAGATACCTCCCCGAGGTTCAAGTTGAATGAATCGATAATCGAACGGGAGCTTATCAAGCTTTTGCCAAAAACCCCGATGCATTTTTATCCCTATGCCTTCGAGTCAAATTATTTGTCTACTGTGGGTTTTTCTCAATGGTGGACTGGTTGGTTCTCGAGTAGTCATGCTACTTTTGATGAAGTTCGACAGAAACTGACTGCTCAACCTTCTCTTGTGTTGCAGGACAAGTCAAAATCGAAGAAAGGTACACACTTCCACTGTCTTCAAATATCTCGATTCGAGAACTTTTATCAAATATGTTACACCCCACTGAAATTAGAATCGACCTATTATGATGCTGTTATCTCCTTATCCAATAAAACAGATGCTAACCGATCGAACCACAAAATAATCAATCCTCTAGGTAGAACCCCTTTTGAAATGTATTGTCCAAATCGCCTTCCCACTTTTCCCACAGCTCCTTTTGGACTTGCCAAACCATTAACTCATCCTAAATGGGTTCGAGAATTGAGATCCCTCAGGGAAACACTTCGCCCAAAACCCAAAAACAAAGATATTTTTGTCTCGAAATTATCTTATTTCCCTTACCTTAACCTCCCTGAGGCTCTTTTGCCTCCCTGGCTTGTACATATCGACTGAGTCAAGATTTTGACTCCATCACCTTTTGGTGAGATTTTACTGCTTTCTTATACTTTTTTGATTCTGTATATTATAAGCTAATCTGTCTTCTTTTATTGGCAGTTTCGAAATCTACCAAGGTCACCGCTGTCGAGAAGGGCCAAGAGAAGACACAAGAGGACTGGGAATCCTCAGATGAATCGGACCCGTCAGCCTTAGTCAGAAAACGCAGACGCTCGGCCACCATTCCTACTTCTTCGAAAAATCGAAGGTTCCTTTTGACTTTTGTTTTGGCCTATTCATTTTTCACGTCCGATCAATCCATATTCTTATACTTATCTCTTTTCGATCTTCTATTTTCAGAAACAAAAATCGAAGAGTCCTCGATCTGTTCAACCAGTTGCTCTCGATCCATTATCGACGGACTCTAATACGATCCCCACGACAACAACGCCTGCCACTCGCTCAAGTCACGTAAGTTTCCTTTTTTATGCAAATTTTATGTTCTTAAGTCTCGATAAAATTTATAACATGGTTTCCAACTTTGATTTTCAGGATCTTCCATCGGAGACTGTATCGACGAATGTCGAATCTCAATTGTTAACACCCCTCCTTGAGGTATTTTATATACTATTGTCTGATTGCTTCAACTTTTGTGCATTTCTTGTTCTGATAATGGTTTTCGATTTACAGCAACCTGAGGCTGTACAGATTCTTCCTCCTGCCTTGGTACCACTTGCTCTACCTCCCCCTGGTATTCACAAATTTTACTGTGTTGTTTTTTCATTTTATTTTGTTATGAATTCTCGATTCACCTTTTCGATTTCTTTTCTTTCTAGTCAATATC